CTCACAAGAATACCCAGTCACGTTAGCTACAGTAGTGATTGCGGTCATCATCTGTGAGAACCAGTGATGGAGAAATATACCATTTAACATCAATATTCACAGTACTTATTATCCCTGAAGAGAAAGGGTTTGAAACTAGTTTTGTTCACGAGTGGAAAAAATGAACTATGACGATGAGATAATGAGCTTGTTGCAGAAAGATGAAGGGGACTGCGAGATGGAGCACCGAGGGAAAGTTAGGAACCAAATCTGGAAAGGCAGACAGTGACGCCTGGCCCCTTTTACAGTCACTAGGTTTTGCTTCTCTTCATCCCTCTTTTCCTCCTCCTCCTCCAAGTCTGTCTGTCACCTTACTCCAACGTATCCTATAAATCACCCCAACCAATACCCCCTCTTCTCCCCTATCCACCGTCTCTAAGTGATGCTCTGGCAGGCTGCCCAACCAGGCTGAGGGAAACAGAAAGAGATAAGGACCGGAACAGCCAGAGAAAGATCGAGCGCCACAGAGAGCAATTTGAACTGAACGGCACCAAAACAGAAAGAATAAAAGACGGTGGAAAAATATGGAGGAAGATATCCGGAGAAAAACGGAGGCAAAACACATGAAAGCAGCTCTGGGTGGGGGTGGAAAGTGAGATTGGAGATTTCTACTGGTTATTTCCTCCGTTCAGATGAGTGTGACCCAACAGGGCTAAAATACTTAATCCTGTTCAGCGGTAACACTCCAGGTTTATCCAAGTTGTCCAATAAAAAACAGAATCTCATCACTCTGACTGGTTTTCTCCCACAAAAACATATAAATGGAAAATGAAGACAACAGCGGGGGGGGGGGGGGGGGGGGGTGTTACTCCTCTAACTCGATTTACTTTGACTTCTTTACTGTCACTTGCATCTCCACCTCACATGTGTTTATTTACGGAGCTCCCCCTCCCGTTTCCTTCTCTTTTTCTCTGTTATAGTGTAGAGACAAAACAGCGGAGTGATGACTGAAGGTCCGAGGCAGCGCCCACCATGAGTCCTGGTTCCAGTGAGTAGAGGTCTTCTCAGACCGACAAGGAGGCAGCTTTGGATTTAACGTGAAAATCTAATGAAGGCTGAATAAACACCAGTGCACGTTTGGCCTTAGAGAGTCCTGATCATCTGATTTACACAGCAGCTAAAGATGGATCGCTAAATCAACATTTGGTCAACTTATTTATAATTTTTAATATCACACGTTTGTCCCAAAAACAATGACATTTTCTAAAATGTCCTCATAAACACAGAATTTTCAACCACGAAAACACAGAAAACGAGTCAAAATCCTGTAGTAACAATTAGGCCTGTCACAATAACAAATTTTGCTGGGCAAATAATTGTCTCAGAAATTATTGCGATAAATGATAATATTGTTTGAAATTTAAAAATGATTAACTGTTAAATTTTAGAAGAAATGTTTATTTGTTTGGAGTGTAGTACCTTTTTTGACCACCTGATGGCAGTATAAGATGGTTTGAACCAAAGGATGGGGGAGTTGAGCAGCGCGTCTCTAAGAAAAATGGGAGGGAGGGCCCTTGACGTGACATCGGCTGTCTCTCGGTTCTCAAAATGGCGAATACTCAGTTATGTCGGCTCTTTAGCATAGCATTTTTCACACAGCTTTTAATAAATTTTAAAAAATCAATCAGTAAACATGTTCTCAGCTTCTTTTTGTACAGAAAAACAACTTTTTACACAAAGGCACGGGTTTCAACTGTGAATTTTGGAGCTCGAGAAAACTGAGGTTTATTCCCGAGGTCGGCCTGTTAGTGGTTCAAAATATCCTGATGCATGCTCAATAATCCAGGCAGAAAAATCTAAAAAAGTTAAATATGGTCCTCTGGACATTCAAAAAACAAAAAGCAAAAAAAAAATAATAACGTAGAAACGTTTCGTCTTTCAAGACGAAACGTTTCTACTTTTACAGTCAGTTTATGTGTTGCTTCTCTTTCTTTCTTTTTTTTTGATGGTTTGTTTTGTGAATGTCCAGAGGACCAGGCCTAACTTTTTTAGATTGGCCTGTTAGATTAGCTCGTAGCTTAACTTCTCAGCTTAGCAGCTTTTAATTATCCAAAAATGCGATTTTGGATAATTAAAACGGATTTTAAAGAGAAAAGAAAAAGGGAGGGGTCAGTGAAGAGCGCTGGAGTTGAGCCTGTTGTCATCCAGTGTCTTCAGTAGAAAGAGACACGAAGAAACGATAAAGCCAGTACATGAAAATGAGGTTGATAACTTTCATTTATTATGCGAGTAATTGATTTATTGTTTATCACGAGAGGCCTAGTAACAATACCATGACTATATGTGGTGCTGTTTTGCTACAAAAGAAGCAGGAAACACGTAAAGCTAACCGCTGATGAAGTAAAGACGAAAATGTTGAATTTAACAGGAAGAACGAAATCTTTTCTGTTGACACAAAGTAGAACTTCTACTTCGTGTTTCATTAAAGTACAAGACCAAAGAGCAGCAGCGCATATGGTGTCGGCCAACATATGTGGGCATAACTCTTTTTAGTTTCAATATCCAGCAGGGAAGGAAGGAAAAGTCATCACGATGTTAAAGCAGTGGTTCCAAACCCTGGTCCCTGAGGAACACCAACCTGCCTGTTTCAGCCGTTTCCCTGCTTCAACACACCTGATTCAGTGATTTAATTACTTCCTCGAGTTCTACCAAAGCCCATCACCCATTTATTCAAATCAGGTGTGTCGAAGCAGGGAAACAGCTAAAACATGCAGGATGGTGTTCCTCAAGGATCAGGGTTGGGAACCACTGTGTTATTTGTTGATCTGTTGCCATTTGTCACATATTTTTAAATGAATGCTTGATGGATATTGTGTTTTCTTTCTTTAATATTGTTGACAGTTCAATAAAAGTTTAAAAAAAAAACCTGTTTGGTCTCAAATTATTTGGCATAAAGAAATTATTGCTCTGCTTTATTGTTCATCAGCCTCTACTGATTGAAGTAATACAGTACAAAAAGGTTTTAAAGTAGCTGAACAACTGGCAACGCAAATAAGAATGTAATCAGTCTTTTTTTTATGTTGATGTGTTAGTGTTTTCAAAAAATTGTGTTTTGGGTGTCTACATAAAAACGTGTGGTTGAAACAAAAACAAAAAACGTATTCACATGTTCCGTTCCTACATGAACGGCGCGTTAGTAATTTTCTAAATCATAAATTTATATATTTTATATTTATACCATCAGTATCTATAACATCTCTTAATGAAATGAGGATAACGAGTTACAACAACAAATAATTTCCCTTTGGGATTAATAAAGTATTTTTGAATTTAATTGAATTTGAATTGAATATTTGTCTTTTCTAGCAAACTGTTGGCTACTTAACTTTTTGTTTATCTGAAATTACGTCCTCTAGTTGTTTTTTTGTTGTTATTGCTCGATACAATGCGATCGCGTCACAAGCAGATAAAAACCTCTACTTCATGAATGAGTTTTATTTGGTTAAATTATCGTCGGTCTAAATCACGACTTTAAAAAATTTGGCAAACGTTATAAAAGGCAGGCAATAATGTAGCCAAGATAAATTTTTATGACCATATGTACATCAACAACTGATTAACTTTTGAAGTGAATCTTGGGTTAATCAGGTTCTTTTAAAGCGTTGTAGCTCAAACCCAAGTCTCCACCAGTGAAAAGTGGAATAAACTTTAAAAAAAATGTTTAAATTTTTTAAGCAATCAGAGCTGCAGTCATTCACTAAGAAGGTCACAGGATCGAATCCCAGCCGGGGGCTTTTTCTGGGTGGAGTTTGCACGTTCTCTCCGTGCATGTGTGGGTTTTCTCCGGGTACTACGGTTTCCTCCCACAGACCAAAAACATGCATGTTAGACTGATTGGTAACTCTAAATTGTCCCTAGGTGTGAGTGAGAGGGTGAATGGTTGTTTGTCTCGTTTGTCTCCGTGTGTCCGTTTGATGGGCTGGAGACCTGTCCAGGGTGTCCCCCGCCTCTCACACAGTGATAATTGGATATGGGCACCAATGACCACCGCAACCCGAAAAGGAAGAAGCAGGTAAAGAAAAAAGAAAGGAAGGAAGGACGGATGAAGCAGGTAAAGGAAGGAAGAAAGGATGAAGCAGGTAAAAGGATGAAGAGGGTAAAGAAAGGAAGGAAGGAAAGAAGGAAGGAAGGAAGGATGAAGCAGGTAAAGGAAGGAAGGAAGGAAGGATGGATGAAGCGTGTAAAGGAAGGAAGGAAGGCTGAAGCGTGTAAAGGAAGGAAGGATGAAGCGGGTAAAGGAAGGAAGGATGAAGCGGGTAAAGGAAGGAAGGAAGGAAGGATGAAGCGGATAAAGGAAGGAAGGATAAAGCGGATAAAGGAAGGAAGGATGAAGCGGGTAAAGGAAGGAAGGAAGGAAGGAAGGAAGGAAGGAAGGCTGATGCGGGTAAAGGAAGGAAGGAAGGATGAAGCGGATAAAGGAAGAAAGAGGCCTTTGTTAATTAAAATAATCATCAGGTTATTAATCAATAAATTGGCTCTGATGAGATCTTTCTTGCAGAGAACTGTGTTTTTGGTGACAAAATCTGAACGTTCAGTTCTAAACAACAGTAATTAATAACTCCTCTCACATTTTGGTCACTCGACTGAATATTTTAAAAGTAATGAAAGTTGCACAAGTAGAATAACTTGTTCAGATGACGCACCTGCACAGAGTCACTGTGTGATCTGGCTACATGTCCTGTGAGAAAACAAGCAGCAACTGTGCAGTGTGATTTAATAAACCCTGAGGTGAGGCGCAGCGGAGTCAGAGGAAACGCCCTCCATCAATCCTGTCAATCTGGAGACCAACAGGTGGAGAAATGTGTCCTGATTCGCTCATTTCATGAGAGCTGAACGGGTCTACACGGAGGCCTGCAGTGCCCCCTGGTGGATGAGAGCTATCAAACAGGCGGCCCTTGAAGTGAACCGGAACAAAACGAATCACCTTTGTGTATAGATGAGTGGTTAACGAGATTTCTTACCCTTCTGAGTCAATGCTGGTGTCATGAACCATGGCTCTGAGGGCATCAGAGTTCGCTGGAGAGAGAGGAAAAAAAGAGTAAGTGAGAAAGAATGGAGTGAAGGAAAAGTAGTGCTGGGAAATTTTTAACAAGCGCTCTCGCTAAAAACCAGCTCAAAAAGATTAACTTTTTAATACGTTTAAATGACAAATCACATGAAACTAAACTCTGCTACGGCACGCATCGAGGATCGCTGCTTCAGAATGACTCCAAGCTTTTAAATTCTCTGTGACGCTCCAAGTTTCAACACTGGGAGATAAAAGTTTAAAGTTCTCACGCTTCAGACAAATGACTGGTTTCTGATTACAGGCAGAGCGTTAGCACTGAGCCCACATCTCAGATTTGAGATTTACATAATTTCTCCTCACGCTGATGCATTCACTGACCTCACCAGGAGCAAAACATGAGCACTAATAATGAAACCGTCATCCTTGGGGGAACTTAAGGAGGGCGAGATGACTTATGTAAGAGCTTCTGCGTGATGATTTCATGCAAATACGCTCCGACATCTGACTGGAAACGCTGCCCTTCGTCTTCGCCGTGAACCGTCCCTCGTGTCATAAAAGAACCGCGGGGTGTTTGATGTGCTTTAGTCATTTTCATTTGCAGTGTCTGCAGCTTAAGAAAACATTTGGGGTCATTTTATTGTCCTAAACAAGGACGGAGAACATAAATTCAAACTACTATTTCAGGAAAAACAAAAATAAGTTTATCAGGTAAACATCTGAGCAAACAAGCTGATGTCCCCCTGTCGCTGAAGAATTGAAATAGTGAATGTTTGTAGTTTATGATATGGGTGTTTTTCTAGACTGGAACAGAACAGAGGATGTAAGTAAATCTGAATGTTTTGGGTGTGACATCATCAAGTGGGTGGAGTTACACTGTAGAAAAATAGGTCTCTTTTTTCCTCTAATCTGAGGCAGCGCAGAGTGACGGATCATGGTGAGTGAAGGGAGCAAAGGCGCAATGGCGGAGCGGGGGGGGGGGGGGGGGGACTAATGGTGGCCTTGGTCACCATAGATTAGTCTCATTTATAAATTACCACAGTATTTCCAAGTCCCCTCTTGCTCTGCGACGAGAGAGAGAGCGCGAGAGAGCGCGCGCGAGAGAGAGAGAGAGAGAGAGAGAGAGAGCGCAAGAGAGAGAGAGAGAGAGAGAGAGCGCGAGAGAGAGAGAAGGATCAATCAACTGTAGCTCAGCTGCCGTTTCATTTAAGACCATTAAACAGCTGATGATGTTCAGATTCTTTTAGTTCAGGCTAAAAGTTTTGTTCTGGCCTCGTCTTTGACCTCTTTTGTTAATTTGATCCAACTTCACAGCAGTCAGATCTTTTGATTTCTTATCCGTGTAGTGGACTAAGCCTACGTCGAAACCCAGTCTAAGGTCAAAACTCTTGACCTTTAGAACCTTGTGGGACAGAAGCTGTCATTTCATGTATTTGACTCCATAAATACAGGTTCACCCATCCTGAGACTTTCTTTCTTGAAGATTCAAGTGAAAAGAACACTCTCTTTTTATTATCATTACTATCTTACAAATGTTGATAATCAAAGTGTCTTAGTTCAAACCATTTTAGATGTTGCAGTGAACTAATCAATTTTATTAACTGAGTAATGATTTTATTCTCATGTTAAAAGCTGTGCAGAGTTTATGCATTTTTCTGATTTCTGCTTTTGAATGAGCAAGTGTGTGCGTTTACAAGGTTACAGTCAAACGAAAAACAAGTTGTTATGTTAAAACTGTCATGTTTTAGAATCCTCTCAGACGTAAATAGAGATGTTTTGCACCTGTGTCTTAGGCACGCCAAAACAGAACCCTCTCGGTCTGTGAGAACATTTCTGAGCTGTCTCATAACAATTCTCGCTGTCTCTAACCCCTTACGTCACAAAAACACACCCCTTCTGGTCGTTTCTGACCAATGAAAAATCCCAAAAAGTGAACCGGGAAAGAGTCTTTAAAATGTCAGTACTTCCTGGTTTACACAGACTCACAGGGACACGGAGAGACACACAGGTACACAGAGTTGGAGAGTTGTCAGACTTCAAGAGTTCTGTGGGAGTTCTGTAAACTACATGAGAGCTAAAGTTCTGATGGAGTGCTGTTGGAGTTCCTGACATGACAACGAAGCTCTTCCGAGTTCCATGGGATTATAACATTTTCCACTGAGGTGAATGTGTGTCGAACAGAGCCTCGCCACTACTTCTGACGGGCAACAGCCATTCTAAGGAGACGCTGGACCGGTAGCGTTAACGGAACACCATATCTGCTGATTATCATCAGAGAGGTAATGGGTCAAGTTTCCTACCAAGCGTACCGAGGCGAGCTGGGCTTCTGATGGAGAGTGTCGGTTCTGGCGAACATTCCTCCCCTCCCATTCAATCTTAACTCCCTCTAAACTTCTTCCCATCTTTAAACTTTTCTATCAAGTAGAAATTCTTCCAGATATTTAGAAATGTCTGTGTAAAATGCTCACCCACATTCATGTGGGCAAAAGATCATAGTTGTACAGTTTTATAAATGTCTGTGGTGCAGCAACGGAAAAATCATGGCCGTATGATTTTTCCTGATTGATTGCTTATGTTGTTATTTTCATAATTTGCCAAATTAATGTAAATGTTTGATGTTAAATTTGATTCTGTAAATAAATGACCGCATTCATTTTGATGGGTCAAATTTAAATGACGTCTCACGTTTGCATTTCCTTAAATTCAATGCACGTTTTATTCAGTCCAGAAAAATGAGGAACTCGCGTTAAATGATGAATATATCCCAGCATCTGTTCATCTACATCCGCCAACTTCTTATTGGTCGATAAACCAAGCTGGTGCCCTCTACTTCTACATGAACTAAACGTGTAGCACCCGTGAGGAAAATGGATCTTTTTCATTTATACAGCACCAATTCACAACAAGTGCCATCCCAGGGTGCTGTACAAAAACATTTAAATATATTAACAAATAAAACACATATGCTATGCAAACCTGCTGAGCACTTTTTATTCTCCATCAGCTTTTTATTTGGCGACACTAAAAGCTTGTCAGACGATAGAACCACATTTCATACATAATGTTCCACCAGCAGAGGGAACCGTTTCCTTTAGCTTCGTTATCTGCTGCTGCACAGACACTCCATTAAAAACAAACACCATGTTCCAGCTTCCTGATACTTAAAGATAATAGTACTTGTATACGCTGAAGGTAAAGATGTATAGTAGAAATGTCTTAACAGACACCAATAGTGTGGCGTCAACTGAACCCATTTTATAGAAGGAAAAAAAAAACTAGATTTACAGGAATCCTGCAGACAATGTGAAACTGAGTCACAGTCAAAGGACCAGTGAGAACATGATAAGCTAGCTCAAGGAACACACATGCACACGCACATGCACACACAAAGCTAAGGACAATGACCTTAGTCATAATGACGTGAATATGCTGCATGTTACTCACTCAAAACTAAAGCGCAAGGATAACGACAAAAACTGGTGTACGTTTGTTTGGAAATCATTTTAAGACTAGAGGAATTGCATTTCCTGCAAAAATGCAGAATGAATGCTTATTGAAGAACTTGTTGAAAAACAGCTGAAATTAGCTATTAAAAAAAAACATGCTGAAAAGTTGCTGAAATGAAGAACAAACAAGCAGAAGAAAGCAGTAAGAACACATTTGCTGAATTAGGTTTAAATGAGCAGAAATTAGCACAAAAAAATACAAAACTAACTACAAAGAAGCTGAAATCAGCAAAAAAATTGCTGAAAACTAGCTGAAAGGGCAGAAACGAGCTTAAACTACTAAAAAAGGACGGAAAAAGCTGAAATGAGCTAAAAAAAAAAGGTGGAAGTAGCTGAAAAAGCAAAAATTAGCATAAAAACGTCTAAATAGTAGCTGAAATAGCAGAAATTACCATATTTTTCGGACTATAAGGCGCATTAAGCTAAACAAAACAGTCAGATAAGTCAAACTTTATTAAATTAATTCACAATAACTCAACATTGTTCAGTTGTACCACATCAAATATGTTCGAGGTCAGTAAGCACAAACAGAATTAATACATAAGGTGCACCTGATTATAAGACTCACTGTCGATTATTGAGAAAATTAAAGGATTTTAAGTGCGCCTTATTGTCCAAAAAATACAGTACCACAAAAAAATTTATCTATCTGAAAATGGATGAAATTAGCTAAAAAAATGCTAAAAAGGTAGCTGAAAAGGTAGAAAAGGCTTAATTTTAGGGGTGCACCGATTGCAGTTTTCCGGCCGATCACAGATTTCTAAAAAGTCTGACCTGCCGATTCCGATTTTGGCCGATACCGATTTTGTTTTATAAGCGACACTGTCCGGTGTTATAAGGTCACAATGCACCTTCAATTTTCTAATCTTATTTTATTGAAAAATATCCTCTTGAACAATATCCTAGAAACAATCCAAACTTGTTTTCACTGGCCATGAGGTAGTGCTCTGAAATATAAATGAAGTTCAGACAATTGTTGTTAAAACTAAAAAAGAAAAAAAAAAAAAGGTAAAAATCAGTTTCTCATGCATCGGCCGATTTCCCAAAATTAAAGAAATCGGGGCCGATAAATTGGACGACAGATTTATCAGTGCACCCCTACTTAATTTATTAATCTTTATTTAACCAGGCAAATCCCATTGAGAGATCCCACAGATCTCTTTTGCAAGGGAGGCCCGAGTCTGAAGGCAGCCTGACATGCAAGTTTTTGGTCTGTGAGAGGAAACCGGAGTACCTGGAAAAAACCCACGCAAGCACAAGAAGAACATGCAAACTCCACACAAAAAGACCCTAAGTCCAACCGGGGATTGAACTTGTAACCTTCTTGCTGTGAGGCAACAGTGCTAACCACTGATCCATCGTGCTGTCAGAAGCAGAAATTAGTAGAAGAAAGCAAAAAGAACGCATGTTTGCACAATTAGACTGGAAGAAGCAGAAATGAGCACAAAAAAGTGGAAATTATCACTACGTGAACTCATGGAGGTACAAAGAGCTGTCATCGTGACATAGCTTTAAATTTCATTGCTCGTCTTGGATATGAACGTCCATTAAAACACCTTTTCTCACCCTCAGCCAAACTTCTCTGAGAAAGCAGATCAAAACTAAGACTTCAACACCAACTTCCTTCCTGACTGCTGTGAGAAAATGTACCTTAAAACAACACGGAGCAGGAAGGACTTCAGGAGAGGAAGGTCAACAATGGAAACCAATGCCCCCTGAAGTGCAGGAAACTAAACTAAAAGTGAATATTTTTATGTAAATGAGACAAACATAAAATGCATGAACAGGTGAGAAAGCTGTAGAAAGGAGAGTAAAACGCATACCTTCATTTTTCATGATGAAGCGGACAATGTGTCCAACTGTATCGGTGTCACTGAAGGTGTCATTCATGTCTGAAAGAAGATCAAGACATCATCAACATAAATTAATACAAAGTACTGGAAAAGACACAAACCGTACGGAAGCAACAAACTAGAATTAAAGGTTTTAATGCTTTTTTTTTTTTTTTAAACAAATGAGTACATTCTTAAATCATGATAAATATTCCACATCAATACTCCCTGGAGGGTTTTTTTTGTTTGTTTTGTTTTGTTGTTTACATCAACAGGAGCAAAAAATAAATAAATCACAAGTTAATTGAAACCTACACACAGACTCATTAAGTAGTTTAAATGCCGATGTTTGTTTTGAGGTCGACTACATCCTTGGTAGGATTTTAAATCCCAGAACCTTAAAAAAATGTTTAAAAAAGTTACAAGTACCGCTTTCCTCCACCTGTTTAATATCACTAATATTAGAAACATCTAGTCCAAAAATTATGCATAAAAACTGGTTCATGCATTCATCATGTCTAGGCTGCACTACTGCAATTGTTTATTGTCTGGGTGTCCATAAACATCTTTAAAATGTCTTCAGATGATCCTAAATGCTACTGACATAGTTTCAATGAGAGTTAGGAGAGATCACATCTCTCCAGTTTTAGCTTTTGGCCCCCTGTCAAATTCAGAATAGAATTCAAAATCTAACCTACAAAGCCCTCAACAACCTAGCTCCATCTTATATTACAGATCTTGTTATTCCCTACCTTCCTAGCAGAGCACTTCACTCTCGCACTGCAAGTTTACTTGTGGTTCCTAGAGTTTCCAAAAGTAGAATGGGAGGCAGAGCTTTCAGTTCTCAGGCTCCTCTCTTGTGGAACCAACTTCCAGTTTCTTTCCGTGAGGCAGACACATTGACTACTTTTAAGATTAGGCTCAAGTCTTTCCTTTTTGATAAATCCTATAGTTGTGGGGGTGGGGCTTGGGTTTCCTGAGCTATCCCTTCGTTATGCTGCTATAGCAGGGGTGTCAAACTCTTAACAAAAGGGGGCCAAAATTAAAACCTTTTTTCAAACTAAGGGCCAATTTCAGAAACTACATTAACTCAAATCAGATACCAAACCTCTTTTCATGGTCACAGGTTCCTCAACAACAGTTTGGTCTAATTTGACGTTCTATGTTGTGCTTTCGACATCATAATCAAAGATTACTGAAATAAATTAAAGTGATAAAAATATTTTACATTTAAAATATCATCTTGGGGGCCAGATAAGGTGTCAACGAGGGCAACATTTGGCCCCCGGGCCTTGACTTTGGCACATATGTGCTATAGGCTTGGACTGCTGGAGAACAAATGGACCACATTTCCTCACTCTGCTGCAGTCTTTATTTGCTCAACTCTACCGGTTTGTATTTGTAATTATTTCCATCCTTATGTGGGTTTTTTGTCTTTCCTCCAATAGAAAGTACACCTGGACGTTTGTGTGTTTCACTTTCCTCTTCTCTCAGATCCTAGCTGGTCGAAGCAGATTTCCACTGTTGCCGTTGTTCTTGCTCAGGATGGGAAACTGCGACAAAGTGAAGATTCAACACAATCTGCTGGCTTCCTTAGATGTATCATTTTTACTAACTGGCTTTTTTTAATGCATGTGAATGTTTATGAACAGTGTGCCCTGAGACAACTTCTGTTGTCCTTTGGCGATGTATAAATAAACTGAATTGAATTGGTCCTGTGTGAGAACGCCGTGGTTACAAAGAAAACCGATTCCCAGAAAACAAGCCCTGGATTACCAACCAAGGAAATCCCAAACGGGAAGAGGAGGCCAGTTATGAAAGAGGACTGGTAGAAATGGAAGAGTGGGCTACAAAGCTAAAAGGTCCAACAGCCAGAGGTAAAATTTAAAAAAAGAAGAAGCTGTAGAACAAGAACACGTTGTTGCATGAAATGAGGCTGCAAAGAGGAAGACAACAGCTAGAAGTGGAGACCGTAACCACTTTTACGCAACTCTTAGGCCCAGTTTACATTTCCTCTAGAAATGTTAGCATTTTTCCAGTGTCGATGGTGGCATATCAAAAACATGTCTACATGAGTAATGCCAGGCAGGATTTCCAGATAGGAAATGACTAAATATTGTATGCGTGTTGTTTTTATGACCCAAACTATCAACTGTGCTGAGTGAAGATGTGTTTTCATGGCCAACAAGGGGAGGTGGGTATAAGTTGAGGTGTGCTGTGATGGTGAACATGTGCACTGAA